GGGTACATTCACATACATGCAGGCAATACACTCATACACATAAAATTAAAAAAAACATGTAAACATATAATTTGAATAGCAAAATCAGATTAAAGCTTCCATCTCAAGAAGCATCTTAGAGCTTGCTTCTCTGTGCTTGAGTTAGGATCTAATGTGTAATATTTTGTAATATTTCCCCTAATCTGGCTGTTGGCATGATGGGGGAATTTAAAAAAAAATTTCCATTATTTTTCCCTTTTCCTCTTGGTCTAGTGCCACCATCATTTTTGACTGGCAGAAGCCAACTGTGGTTTTCTGAAGCCTTCTCAATGGTCTATCTTCTACTTCTTCAGACTCTGCTACCTGAAGACCTAAGTTTCCTGGTACCAGACCACAGAGCCCAGGTAGCATCATGTGGTTCTTCAGCTGTGGAATCATGACCACAGGAGCGGAAAGACTTGGGGTGAGGTCCTGTCTGGCACGTCAGCATGCTAAAAGCTCATGGCTGCCTGTGTGTCTACTTTTTTTTTGTGGGGTTCAAAGCTGACTCCTGATTTAGGCTCTTGAGAGATGAAGAAAGGCCACATCTTCCTCAGGACAAAAGACTATCCCACAATTGAATAGGAAGGGAATTTCAACAGCATTCACTCAAGGAAAAGGGTCTACACAGATGGGGATTCTGTATTGCTTCTAGGTAGAGTCAGAGTCTTTAAAGACTGCTTAGCTGGTGATGAGATATTGTGTATTTTAACTCCACCTTCATGGGTTTGGAATTCCACCAGGTCAAGGTCCCAGGGGTGTCTGTTCCAGCAGGCACTAGAGATTTCCAGTGTTCTGAAAAGGTCTGGAGTGTACACATATTGCTGCTTCACCCATCCTGTCTTCTTTATCTGGAATGGCTCCTTGAAGACTCACAATTCAGTCCATCCTTCACAGGCCCTTTTCAAACACTACCCCCTCTATCCAGCCTTTCCCAATCTCCAATGACCTCCACAGGAGTCTGTGTACAATGGCTACTTTGTTCTAGCTGGGTGGGCACCTGCCCTCTGCCCTGCAAAACCACACCTATGCAGCACATTCTTTAAATCAGCTGCTGGGTCTAGCATAGGACTCTGCTCATAGTGGTCTATAAATATTTGAATTTGATCATGTACTTGGTCCTACCAAATCTCATAAGAGGATATAGATGTTAATGTTGAAACGTGTGTGTGTGTGTGCGCGCGCCACCTGTGGATGCCAGAGGTGAATACTGGGCATCTTCCTCTATCACTTTCTGCCTCATTTTTTGAGCTCACTGATTGGATGGTCTGGCTGGCCAGTGAGTCCCTCCTGGGATCCTCCTCTCTCCCTTGTAGCACAGGGATTATAGGTGCATGGCATGCTCAGCTTTTTAGTGTAATTTTTTTGATTTGTAAATGGTGTGCTTCCGTTTGTGCATATGGTAGCCGCAGAAGGACATCAGGTGTTCTGCTCCATCATTCTCTGTTCCCTGGAGATAGTGTCTCATACCTTTGGCTACGCTGGCTGGCCAGTGAACTCCTGACGCCTGGCTTTTTCAAACATGGCACTGGGGGTCTGAAGTCAAGTCCTCATGCCAGCACAGCAATTGCTTTACTCACCAAGTCGTCGTCCCAACACATGCATTTTTCTTTTAAAAGACATGGTCTCATACTGGAGCTTAGGCTTGCCTGGAACTCAAGATGATAATCCTGCTTCAGCTTCCTAAGTACTGGGATTATAGGCACGAGGCAACATGCCCAGCATTCTTTATGTAGTTTAATGCCCCCACACTAGAAAACTGCTCCAGCTCATAAGGATCCTGGCCCCAAAAATGTGAGTAATACAGGAATTCCTTGGTCCAGCTTCCTAAGACTTCCACTTAGGGCATAAAAATGGATAGTTATCTGAAGAGCAACAACACAAGTAGAATTAACTAGCTATATACTGAAATGAGCTCTGATCCTGGGATTTTAATGGTCTTGGGTTTAACCTTGGGTTCTGCGATTCATCTTCAAATGTGACCTCGACAATGACTTTAAGGCTTGATGTTGGGTAACTGGGGCTATAAGGTAACTCCACCAACTGTAAAGATAGTGTGAGTGCTGCTATGTGCATGGCCAGGTCCTGGGGCCAGAGTGACCTGGTCTGCCCATCCCACATTCCCATTTACTTAGGCTGAAACATGTGATGGTCACCTAGTGTTCATTTAAGAGTTTCCAAATGGTGAATCAATAACTCTGAGTATTTCTACCAGACTCCACCTCTGCTTTTCTTCTTGTGATTTGGAAAATGCAAACCCACAGGGAAACCCTGCCAGTCCTGCCAGCCTCACAGCTCATATGGCCTAAGTGCAGCCCTCCCCACGGTATCCTGCTGGCTGGAGTTACTGCACTTGGGAGATAAACAGCTCTTTTTTTAATTTTATTTTTTTCAGAAGGCGCAGGCCCCCACCCACAGTGACAAATGGGCTCTACAGTTCTTGCATTCCAGAGGAGGCTTTCAGCTTCCAGATGGGAGCACCATCAAATAGGTTGCAGGCAGAGAGGGAAAGGAAAAATTAAAGCCATTAATATGCTGGAAAGAATAAAGAAATGGGTCCTTTAAACTGGATCTCCAGGACGTGACTCTGGTTCAAGACGAGGGACAAGCCACTTTTTTTCCAATTCCCTATTGAGTCCATTTTTTTTTTTAAACCAAAAGCAGGCAGACAGGCAGTGCACTATCGTCTTGACCACTGCAGCCACCTCCCATGGTCTCCTGCCTCCCCACTGAATCTCACCAAACAAGGGCTGCCTCACCTCTGCCATACCTCTGGGGATAAATTCATTCAAAATCTAATAGTGAGTATGACTACAGGGAATACTACATGGGGAACGGGAGGGTGCTTCCTGTGATGACATTTTCCTTTACATTTTATTGATTTATTGATATTTGTTAATTAAAAACATGGGAGAGTAAACATGAAAGTATAAAGAGATATATCCAAATATATATCCCTCCCCTCCTCATATACCAGACATGCATGCATCCATCCACACTCATTTGCTTTCAGGGGAATAAAAGTACTCACCTTTTAGCCTTATTTTATAACTTCTCTTCCCCTACTCCCTGCCCCAGAGGTGTTCTTATGAACACATGTATCTGAACACATTTATGGGTACATACATGATCTGTAGTTGTCTTATTTATAAGTGGTCAGCTCACTGCAGGATCAAAGCACACATTTACAGATACCTGCTTTATGAAACTCTATTCCTTTGTTTTTAAAAATATTTTATTCATCATTTCTATTTTATGAATTTATTGCCTGCATGTAAGTGCAGGTGTGCAATGCCTACGGAAGTCAGAAGGTGTTAGATCCCCTGGAACTGGAGTTACGGATGGTTGTTAGCCACCACATGGGTGCTGGGAACTGAACGTGGGTCCTCTGCAAGAGCAGCCAGTGCTCTTAACCACTGAACCATCTCTCCAGCCCTGATTCCTTTGCTTTAATAACTGAGTTATTTAGCCATAGCACAATATTGCACCAGGTCTAGAACCTGTTCAGAGTTTTCTCACATATGAGAAATCCCCCAACCATCAAAGAGATAAACAAATAAACAGCTCCCAAATAACAAAACAAAACAAAATCCTCCAACTCATGTATTTACTCTGGACAGGAAACCCACACTTACACAGGGCAAAGATTTGAGGAATGAACCTTAATTTGAAGCTTCTAGGAAAAGGGAGATTTCGCCCCAGGCAGTACCAAGGAGGACCTGGAAAGCACTGCTGATAGAAAAGGGAGCATGCTCTGTGGAGACAGACTCCATAACACAGAAGTTTGGGTGTTTAGGGTGTTTCTTTAGGATGAAATAGAAAGAACAAACCCCTCTGAACTGAGATCTGTAAGATGCATCTTGTTTAAAGAAGTTGGGATCTACCCTGATTTCAGTCATGTAAAGATGGACAGTGGCATGCAAAACATTATAAAGAGTAGACTATAATTATTATTTACTAGTGCTCCATCTCAGTGCCGTTCTAACAGCCTGTGCACTGTCAAATCAACAATCTGCACTAAATAAATGACCATTTGGGAATTAAGAGGGATCGTCTCTGTTCTTCTCCCTGCCTGAGTAAAAACTCATTTGCAATCAAAGAATGCTGCTTCTGAGCTGAGAACACAGCACCAGCAGCCTTGCAGTGCCTTTTTCTGAGGAAAGACCAAAGATTCACAGTAATTTGATCTTTTGCAGCAGGTCTCATTTCATTCTACCGGAATCCAAGAGGACTCCACCTGCCATTCAGAATTTCCTAGAGGATCCACTAAAACTTCTCGTCTGTTACTAGACCTCAGACTTCTGAGAAGCAGAACGGCAAATAAGGACACAGGTGCGATAACTGATGCTGATGTGACCCTCGAGAGGCAGATGAAGACTTCTGTATTAAGTTTCAGAAATAGTGGGTTTTATCAAAGTGAAAATTATAGTCTGAGGGTATAAGCTTTAGACACACCTACTCAGGGTTAGGGATGGGGTGGGGGTCAGCAAAAGAACGCTTGCTTGGTACGTATGCAATCCCCAGGGTTCAACCTCCAGTACAGCAAGAAAAAAGAGAAAAACCCTACTCAAACAAGAAAATAATGTTGACTTTCCAGCCTGTGAATTTAAAATATTTCATGCTGCTTTTTTGCTTTTTTGTGGTTCTTTTTTCTTCTTCTTGACAGTCTCATATATTCCTTGCTATCCTCAAAATCACTACATAGCAGAATATGACCCTGAACTTCTGATCCTCCTGCCTCCACCTCTCAAGTGCTCTCACCTCTCAAGTGCTCTCCACCTCTCAAGTGCTGGGGTTATAGGTATGTACCACTATGCTAGGTTTATGCAGGGCTGGGGATGGAACCCAGGGCTTCACACGTGCTAGGCAAGCACCATGCCAACAGATCCACATCTCTATCCCCTCATGCTGGGCTTTTTATACAATGCTGAACATCAATCCATAACTGGAGAATTCTAATGTACCTAAGAAGATTCACTCACCATCAGCTCCTCAGGTGCTGGCCTTTCTTTGGGCTGTTTCCTCATGCTGTAGGAAGAAAACAAAGAGACCCTCACCATTATTAATTTCTATCCCTATTTCCCCTGGAATCTGCCTGTTTGCAAAAGCCATCAGCTCAATGCTTGTCCAAAGTATTAACACATAAATTCCCTTTCTTTTATCTTGGCCTTTAGTTAGATTTCTGGGGATACCATGAATCAGAAACAGAGCTACTGTTGAAATAAAGATAAGCTAACATTTATTGTAATTCTATTTTTGAAATTAATGTGGAAAGAGCAGCAATACTCTCTTCCTGACTCAGTAACCAATTTATTTCCATTTTAAATTCAGGGAACAATATACTTCTATTTTGGTAATATTTTGGGCTAAGAATAAGAAAAGTGGCTATGATGTCGCATGAGAAGCCACTGTACTCTTTTGTTATGGCTCCAATGACAAGTAGTTTATAAGAGGCCAGAAATACAGATGATGCTACAGGATCACAAATGGGTTCTTACACATTCTCTTGACTTGCATTTATTTAGGCAAAAATGCACGGTGATAATTCATTTCACATCTGTAGGACAGTTAAGTTTATTTAAGCTGCTTTAAGAACCACATTGCTCATGCAAAATATTTGTCTTCCCTCCAATAGCTCTAATTAGTGGCTGTAGCTTGTATTTAGCTATGTGATGAAGCACCACAAATGGACCGAAGTGACTGTGGGCAGCTGCCTACTTGTGGCCATGTCTAAACTCAGAGTATCTGTGGGAGGAAGTCATGAAGACATTGCTGCTTTGACCACTTGGAAAAGAACATGGCAGTCTTTTCTTTTTAAAAGGCACCATCTAACAAGCCAAGAAAACCCATAGAATCTCTACATTTGCTGACAGTACTTTACTTTTTTAAATAGAGAGATTTAATGATCATTTGGTAAACAAGAAGCATAGTTATGAACCATTAATGACATTGAGGACATTTGCCTTCCCTATAAATAACCATATGTACCTCTCAAATACTGCATCTATTAGCAAGTGATTCAAGCTGTCTCGCCAGTGGAGTTGGTAACAGTCCTAATCTGACATTCCCAAGTAGCTGTATCTCTTGGGAAAACAAGGCCATTACCCACTATCACTTCTGTCTCGGCTGACATCTGTGGAGATTTCAACACAGGTTATCCCTCCCTCTGTCTCCATAAAACTTTGATATAACAGCTGATTAATTTTTTGGATAGGAGGGTGAGAAAGCTTTATCCACTTTTCTCCCTGGCTGCCCAGCTCAGCTCCACCTCCAGGCTGGTCTCAGACCACACAGAGAGAGCTATGCAGATGTCAGACATCCAACATCTCTCTGCAATGCCCCAACAGGGCTCCAGGCAGCATGGAACCGCATAGTCTGCTCCCCAATTTCTGCATTTCAAAATGGGGCATTACCATGATGTACTTCTGAGCGTGTTTAGAAATTCCATGTAAAGGAAACGAAGAGATTAATATAGGTTTATGGTCAAGCACTCAAAAACATTTTTAATGTGCTTCAAAAGAGCCCAGGATGCCAGTGTTTAATGAATAGGCATTTTCCCCCAGTATGGCATGCTTTGGAAACAAAAGGTTTTCAGAGAACAAACGGTTTCTAAAAGCTACAGAATATTATGTAAGTATTTTAAGTAAATAGAAACAATTAAAATTTTTTGGATCTGGGGGAAATTTCTTTCTCACATTTTTTTCCCGGTGGAAAATAAACTGTATGAGACATTTTTATTAAGAGGTAACATATTACACTTAGTCAAAAGGGTGATAAAGCTTGACATTTATATTAAGGAATATTTCTTGGTTTCATTTTAGTGTAATCATCAGATGGATCATGGGGAGGGGAGGGGATGGTACACGGCCATTTGAGTTGAGCAAAGACCTGACTGCACCACCCTAATGCACCACCCCACTGCACCCCACGGTGAAGCCTTCTTCTGGTAGGGGCAGCCTGTGTACTCCCTGGAAGGGTGAGAGAAGGAGGGCTTTGGAAGGAGGGAAAGAGGGATAAGAGAGATAGGAAGGAGTTCCAGAATGTTCGGTGGATCCTGTCTCCTGCTCTGGAGACCACCATTCCTATACTCCTCATTTCCTCCTCTCTCCTGGATAATTCCCCAGGCTGGGGTGAGCCAGAGGACAGTGGACCAACTGGCCTCCTGAGGCCACTGAAGTCCAGCAGGATCAGGGAAGGTGGCGAAAGGGCTCACGAAAGAAAGACGTATCCTGTCCGGAGGAAAAAGGCAGAAGGCTGGAACAGAACCCCCAGGCTGACAAATGCCTGCTTCTTCAGGGGTAAAATGACAAGGCCTTGCCCAGAGGCACCAAGGCCCCAGTGCACTCAATCCTGGTTTTCCTCTGAGTTTCTTAAGGGTTGAAAAGAACTTAATGGAACTCGTTCAGTCGACTTTCAAACATCAAACTTCAGTGAGATTTGACCCTAGGATTATTTCTAAGATACAACCAAAGATAAAAGTTATTTACTGAGAATCTGATGAATTAATAAACTATGCTGCTCTAAGTGACAGGCAGTTTTATAGGGAACTTGAGGTTACATTAATAAAAATAAGCTTTATATGTCTGTTCAATAGGGGCCATAAAATTGTGCATTTGGTGTGGGGGGGAATCAAAGGGGATGATATGGCAACAGTGCCTGTGCTCCAAGAAGGATCCCCCAGTTTATTAAGACAGGAGGAACCTCTGACATACATTTATGACCCTTTGTGTAAATAACGTTTACATAATTTAAACAATTTCTTCGGCTTTGCTGCCCCATCTGCCAAAGGCCCCGAAGTCCCTCTGTCTCCGGAAGGAAGCAGGGAGAGCCATAAGGTCTCATGGAGCTGGAGTTAATGGCATGTATCATTTACATTGAGGGCATGGCGTGTTTGCAAACGGGGCTCACCACTGAGTGATGAAGTGTAGAAATGGTTCCGAGAACTCTCCAACCGGAAGGACGGGTGAATCCTGGGATGGAGGAAAAACAAGTCACCAAAAGTCACGACAATGCCTTTTCTTCTTTTTCTTTCTCTCCTGCTGCTGCTTTGACCCCTTGGAGGAGGGGCATAAAGATGAATACAATGCGTAAGGCCTCATTCAATTAAGAAGACTGGACCCTCCTCCACAGTGAGGTAAAGATGCCAAATTTTAAGCCACACACATTTTTCGATGGTGAGAAACAGGAGAGCAGAGAGAGGGGAGGTGAAAAAGGGCAATGACAGCCACAGGGTAGGAAGGAAGGTAGGGAAAGTGTAAATGAGAAATTAATGATTATTTAAGTAACACACAAATGGTCTTGTAATTAACAAAGAGCTGTGAAATTATTCTTGCGTTGACCTTTGTTTCTTTCACTGGGTTTGCTATTTATTTACACTCTCCTATTTATTTACTTTCATGTGTATACTGGACTGTGCTTAACTGTTTGCCCCTTGCTGTACATTTGTGTCATAGATACATATATATGTAGATGCATATTTAAATTTTAGAAGACAGACAACTTACAGGGGAAGTTGTTTCCTAAAAAGGAATTTCAGCCTATTTGCCAGTCTAGGTCAATTCTGTGATATGAGAAGGCCAGCGAATCAGGGACACAATGAGAAATTCCCACCTCTACCACCAGACAAAACCGGGGTGGCAGCGGGAGCCACTCAAAAGAACAGAAAACTCCAGGACAACAAACGACCGGCCGTGTGACACAGGGAACAAACCCCATTACCATTCGCAGAGGAAGGCTTTAAGAATTTAGGAGTTTTTCCAAGAGTGACAGAGAGTGCCGCTGTGTTTATAGTGTAGAAGCTCAGGATGTAATGAAATTACACTGCAGAGTACTTTAACAGTCATCTCATTAGACCTACACTTGGAACAAGAGAGCCACATAAAGTAGGCAGCTGCAAATGACTCTGTTCTCATCTATTCTCATTTGCTATTAAAAATACCTTTCGGCGCCTTTTTTCCCTCCCTGACATCCCTCCACAAAGTGCCCTGCAAAGTATGATACATGCACCTATTTAAATTAACAAAGGAATGACTTATTTTAATCTCACTGTGCTTTGGCCATTTGGATGAGCAATATATCATTACATACAACCTTCCAGCGCTGCAGGCTAGAAACTCAGAGCATGCAGCATTTGGTGGGAGCCAAACAATTTCTCTAGCACACAACTGTGTCAAATGCATGCATGTATTCATTATGGAGAACGAGAGGAAATAGCTTTGATGTAGTGAAGAGGAGAAAATGATAAAAGCACCTCAGCAATATGTGTGTCATTATCAATGGCGGCGGATAGATACAACTGCACAGCCTCCTATGTGATTAGTAAATATACATATAATTGCTGTGGCCAATTATCAGAAAAATGAGATCGGTAATTACAAGACAGAAAATTAACTAGAACTCTTATTAAGGCTTTGTTTCCAATTCAAACAATTGGAAACTGCTGGATAATACAATTAAATCAAAAGGAACTAAAGGGGCCACGGCAGCCAAAAAAGGGGAGAGGGGGAAGAAATATTCCAAAGATTAAAAGAAAAAGAAAATGAACAAGATGTTTCTTGGCTTTTATATGCACCCTCTGAATTTATTTATCCAGAGGAGGGGACGGGCAGCTATTCCAAACTTGAAATTGTTATCAGTAGAGAAAGGCTTCCAGGAGGAAAAGAAAACAAAGGAAAATGGGTGTGAAATAAAAATCTCATCAAGTTCAAAGGATTACGCACAGGCAATACACAGAGAGAATGTGAAAACCCAGGGCCGAGGAAACGGCCTACTCAAAAGGCACAAGACCCACAATAACATGACCAGCCCTCAATAACAGTACTGCAAAATGGCCACAGAAGTCCCATTGGTTTGAAAAGCAAAGATAAAACACAGTATCAATTTCAGAGCTGGCCTATTGTGGGAAGGCCATATATATGACCAAGCCTGTAAGAATCTACAAGGCCTAGTTCAAGAAGTGACACTTTTGTGTCTTCAAAAACCATAAGTGAAAAGATAGTTCAAATCTGAGCCACAAAAATTATGGACTCTGACTGGTCAGGAAGCATCTCTAAGCCATTCTTCATGGGTCTTCCTTTCTCTTATGCATAGGGGGATATAGTACTGGAAGTGTCTGAAGAGTAGTTGCTCCCTAACCCAAACTCGGGTTCTTGTTTCAGGTTTCACTTAACAAAGAGAGTGCCAGGCAGGGGTGGGAGAGGAGAGCTTGGTGCTAGGGTTTTTTGTCTGGTTTGGTTGGTTTTAGTTTTATTTATTGAGACAGGGTCTCATTATGTAACTGCCTCTGCCTCTCAAGTGCTAGGATTAAAGTAATATGCCACCATGCCTTGCCCAGTAATTGCTTTAAAATGCAGTATTTAGGAAAGCAAAGCTTCTGTCTTAATATGGCCCTATATTTACCAACATGGTTAAAATTCTGAACTGACATTCTACAAAGATCTGGGCCTCACCCATTTCAAAATAGGATACCAAGTCAATTATGAATTACAGACCAAGCAACTAAATGAAGTTGTCATTTTACCAGAGATGAGAAACCAAGTGAGGAAACATGACATCTTGCATAGATAGTTAATTTTATTTAAGACCTGATATTGTTGATTGTTACGATTCCTCATATCACACAACTAAAAAACACTGGGTGGTAGCCATGAATAATTTATTTGACTTCTGAAAATGCCAGCCCAAGTTGACTTTGCAGAGCCACAGAGAGCAAGTCCCATCTCAGTGGGGCCTGGAAGGAATCACTCACCAGAAATGCGGGAGAAATTCTAATTTCACATGCATCCTGCCAGATATTTCTTTTTCATTTTAAAATCAGTGTCTCTTGTATGCCTCAAGGAAGACTGCTCTAAGCTGCAGAAGGCTGGCTAGAAAGGAGGTGGTGGAGACTACACACATAAACACAGGCAAAGGTGGCCTTGGAGAGCTTCCAGTTGCGTAAAAGCAGGCAGGTAACACACAGAAAGAGCTAGTTGATAGGCCTGAGAATGTTCATATTTGCTGTGCAGAAGGGTTTTCAAGTATACTTTTTCCTTTTTAAAGAAAATAAGATTAGAAGTTAGTGTAGCTGAGAATTCGAAAGTTCTCCAAGAACCTGCCTATTTTGCTATTTATTTCAAATCTAGGAAGGAGGGAGGGTAGGGTAGACACTAAGTTTGGACCCTGGCTCACCCACAGTACACAGGAAGGGAAAGCATCCCATCATCCACGGGGCTGGAGAGAATGGAGACCCATGGCAAGGGATTCTGAGAATCCAGTATGAAGAAGCCACTGATACTTACTCAAAATGTCCTCTGTGAAACAGCGGTTCAGGTAAGATGGAGAAATACACTTAAAAACATAATGTGGGCTAAAGAAGCAGTTATACTAATAACTGTATGTGCTGGTGGAAACCAGCTCAGAATGGTTAATAAAAGCCACTGTCTTTAAGGCTTGGGTGCCACATCACCTTAAGTCTTTCTCTTTTGGATGCTTTTTGTGAACTTCTTAGCACAGAGGTATGGAACACAACAGTGGGCACAACCTTAACCAAAAGCTTTAACCTGAGACTCTAATCCCAAATCAACTTTAGAGACCTGCTGAGAGATGAGAGCTGGATCCTGCCATGGAGCAGGATCTGTTATATAAAAAAAAGCCACCATAAAGCATTTCAGTAAGCACCTGTGGTCATGAAGGAGGACAGTCTGTAAGTCTCAAAGATTTTGGTAACTACCTGGTCAGCCCCTTTTGCTAAACAACTGGAACACAGGCATGCTGCATGCCAGAGAATAGCAAAGGACACTGGGAAAAAAGTTTGAGTGATGCCTTTGCCTTGTGAATAATGAACAGTTCAGCAAGGTCAACCCATTACAACCGAAACTGTTTAATTATTAATTATGCACAATCTATGAGCAAAAGGACAGGTCCAGAATGTTTAATGCATGCTAACTTCAACTGGACTCTCTCACTCTCTCTCTGGGAATTTTGTTATTAGCACTTGTCAGCAAGGTATTCAGGCATAAAAAAAAGGCAAACAGCAGAAAATCTGTGCACGCATGTATGTGTGTATGTACCTGTACTCTCATGGAGGGAGAAGAAGGAAGAGGCAGGAGATCCAACCCCAACCACAACTGTTGTTAGCGCACAGGCAGAGTATGTCTGCCAATAAGCACATTTTGTGACTCAGGCAGGTGAGTTGGGTTCTCTACATACAGAAAGTAAAAATGAGAAAGAATGCTTTTGAAATGATTGACTTAAAAGAGAGGTCATTTTTGTGAAAGGATATTCTGTTTAAAAAGCATGATGTTTCTTGGCTTTAAAAGAATTTGGGCTTGGTCACTGGAGAGATGACTCAGAGGTTAAGAGTGCAGTACTGCTCTTCCAGAGGACCCGAGTTTGATTTCCAGCACCCATGTAGGGCTGTTCTCAACTGTCGGTAATTCCAGCTCCAGAGGACCTTACACACTGTTTTGGCTCCTGGGTTCCCTGCATTCATGTGCATATACCCCTACACAGATGTACACATATAAAGATAAATCTTTAAAAGGATTTTTAGAAGGACATTTATCACCAACATTCTCCTACCCCGCAACCCCCCACCCCCAATGGCTGCACATAACATTGTAAAATGTGAATAAGCCTGGTGTTGGTATCTGTACCCATGGTGGCCTCCTGGTTGCAATACTGTATTACACTATGAGAGTTAGGAGTGACGAAGAGGGTGAAGGGAGACGGAGTCTCTATAGTCGCTAAAGTCTACAACAGTGTGTACCTCTAAAATTATATTAGGAAAGTTTACTTATTTATTTATATTTTTCATTTATTTATTTTTATTTTATGTGTATGAGTATTTTATCTGTATGTATGTAAGTGTATCCATGTTGTACAATGCCCACAGAGGCCAGAGAGGGCATTGGATCCCCTAAAACTCACAGAATTGTGAGCTGCCAGGTGGGTGCTGGGAACTGAACCTGGGTCTTCTGCAAGAGCAGCC